CTGTTGGATCAACCAAAAACAGAATGTAGCACCTGCACAAACGGTCCACAACACGTCCAAAACCAAATTCAAAGAATAGAACGGTAGCCTTCAATGACTCACAATAACAACAAACTCAATCAACGCAATACCAACGCGAAAGAGCTAACATGTTACGGCACCACTCTAACGCTCTCCTACGAAAGAGGGCATCCCATAGATTGCAGAAAAATCAATGACAGAAGGAGCCACAACAAAGCCTAACGCCCAGCCACCATTGTATAGACACTTCCAAACACCAAATCCAGAGCAAAACATCGAAGCATTGAACAAAGGATACCCAGAAACACGCGACCTCTTCACGATCAAACCAAATGCAACACAGAAATCAAATCCCTCTACTACAGCCCATTAATTAAACAAATTCAAATCTGACAAGCATATCAAACTCACCTTTTTCCATACAACAATACTACTTCCATTGATCTCACTTGAACAAGAAGTACAAGAACAAAAATCAATAACCATACACCCAACTCGAAACAGAACTTCACCAATACACCCTCTAAACCAACTCAAAACCCCAAAGAACCCATCTAAGGAAGATAGGGAAAAAAACATACTTTTTGAAGGAAATAAGCGTACACAGATTCCTAACAAAATCATTTATTGAGACACACGAATCTGGCTGAACCCACATGCACCAGAAACCAATCCTTGTAATTGCACTTTCAAACAACACCTCCTCATTCACTCTTCTCCTATTAAATAGAATATCATTCATGCATAACCAAAAAGACCAAATAATATCAAATAAAACCAGATTCCAGAAGATTTTGTAGTGGTTACCAATCAGACTGCTGTCCCAAACTAAAATAAGGGACCGAATGCTACCAGGGCACACGAAATGGTAATTCCACATGGCGAACCACCTGGACCAGACCCTCCAAACTACCTCACAATGACAGAATAGGTGGTTAACAGACCTCCTTCTCCTTCAAACACAGCGCACAATCCAAAGAACCTAAATTCAGCAAACCCCGTTAACAGACTCCCTATGAAGAACAGCTCTCCAAACGAAGAACTGCACTTTTGGAGGGGCAGGATTCTGCCAAACCAGCTTCCAAAAATCATCGCATTCACCCTCAATGTGAACGACATTGGAACAATAGGCCTTTGGAGAAAACAGCCCGTTCGACGAACCCTCCCAATGGATACAATCCACGTTTGAATCATGCTGCACCACTTCATTAAGAGAACGATAGAAATTACCCCACATAGTTTGTTACCAGGAGAACAACCTACGCCTAATCTCTACGAGCCATGCCCAACGACCATTTTCCTTGGAACCGAACTCAGTTACCTTCACCTCTTTCTTGATAGCTAAACTGAAAATTCTGGGAAAAGCCAATTTCTACGAAGGAAATCGAGTCCATGGATCGTTCCAAAAATCAATTGCTTTCCCGTCTCTAAATGGAATTTTGAGCCCCTTTGTAAAACTATCCTTCGGGTTGGATAACGGCTGCACTACGTTTCTCGAGACCCAATAGATTTTCTTTGGCACCCTCAGTGAAGGAATCAGCGAATCCATCTCATAGCCATACTTGGCAATGACCACTTTTTTCCACAAACCCTCTCGATCCCTACCAAATCTCCAGATCCATTTATTGAGTAAAGATCGGTTTTTGAGCCGGATATCCGTAATGCCAAGGCCGCCCTGATGTCGGGGCTTGCACACTCTCTCCCCTTTCACCCAATGGATGGGTCTACTACTGTTTGGCCCCCAAAGAAACTTGGTAATAATTTTATTCAGCTTCGTTGCCACTGATTCTGGCATCTGAAACAGAGAAAGATAGTACACTGATAAGTTTGCTAACACGGACTTAACCATGACTACACGTTCCCCGAACGATAGTAAACTACCTTCCCAACTTTCAAGTTGAGCAGTGAATTTATCCACAATAGGCTTCCATAACTCAGGCAAGTTCCTCGAATGTCCCAGTGACAGTCCTAGATACGTAGTGGGGAAGATTCCCAACCACAACTGATCTCGTTAGCCCACGACGAAACACAATCTGCATCAACATTGACTCCATACATTTTTGTTTTTCTCAGGTTTAGGATCAACCCTGAAGCTAACTCAAAAAATCCTTAGCAACCTCTTAACGTTGACAAGGTGATTCACACTGCCTTCCAAGAACAATATGAGATCATCCGTAAACTGAACGTGGGTCAAATAGAGATCACTTTGCCCCACCTTTACACCTCTAATCAGATTACAGTCTGCCGCTTTAGTAATAACTCCGCTAAGTGCTTCACCGACCAAATTAAATAACAAAGGGGATAGAGGGCATCCCTGGCGAAGTCCTCTCTTTATTCTAAAGTTTTTTTTTGTGGGGGTCCCATTAACCAATACTGAAATGGATGCTGTCGAGATACAGAGATTCATCCATTTCCTCCATTTCGCACCAAAATCCATCTTTCGGAGAATCACCTACAAGAAACCCCAGTCTACCGAGTCGTATGCTTTTTTTAAATTCGCTTTCAAGACAACTTCTCTTTTCCTTTGACAGAGGTCATCAATTAGTTCATTGGCTATTAAGACGCAATTGGCTATTTGTTTCCCAGCCACAAAGGCGAATTGTGTTTCGCTGATAATTTAATTGATGCATCTTGCCAGCCTTCTACATAAAACTAGTGCCAGTGTCTTATAAAGGCTTCCCACCAACGAAATAGGTCTAAAGTCATCGAAGTTTTCAGCATCTCTCTTCTTTGGAATAAGGGCAATAAACGACTGGTTAAAGGATCGGTCTGTCACTTAACCTTTGTAAAACTCTTCGAAGAAAATCATCACCTCTCCTTTTACCTCAGCTTAAAACTTCTTGAAGAAATCAAAATTGAAGCCATCCGAGCTGGGAGCCCTAGACCCGTCTGCCGACTTGATTGCATTCCACATTTCCTCTTCTGAGAACGGGGCTTCTAATGCTCTCCTTGAGGCTATACTCACACTTGGGCTTCTGAGAACGGGATTTGATTACATATGATATCCGAACTCATAGATTTAACTCAATCCGGTCTTATAGGATTAATTTAAAAAATAATCAAGTTTAAGTCAGTTGAAAATCTTTGACTCAAGATAGTAGTATTAATTATCTTTAGTATATTTAGAGATAATTATAATATTTTTTTATTTTTTTAATTAGATTCTTATTTTATGAAATAAAAATAAAAATTATATATATATATATATATTTGTGTAGGATCAGACGTGAGATTTTATCTCAAAAATTGAGTTAAGTTTTATATTGGTGGAAGCCTCCCTAAATCTGAGTTAGATCGGATAACAGATGAAATGATATAACATTAGTATCGGATGTAGGTCGATAAAAAACCGACCTGAACTTTTCTCATCCCTAATTACACATTGTAATATGAAATCTACTCTATACTTTGAAATATCTGCCATGAATTTAAAAAATACAGATAACAAATGAATACTATTTAATAAATATGAGAATTAAATTGATTAAAAAATATATGTACCGCATTTATAAATAAAAAAAACAGTACTAATAATTCTCCACGAAAGAGCTTATTTTGATGATTTCTTACTAATATGCTGGTTTAAATCACAAAAACAATACTAATTGTTTTGTTTTCTCTCAGAAAAATCAAGCCAATAATCTACTGTTGTTTGGTAATATCCGCCATTAAATAATTAAGCTCCCGTGTGGGCCTAATTATTTGTAAGTAAATTATAAGGGTGTTATAAAGTGAAGTGTAGCAGTTAGCTGAAATTAATAGCGATAGCAAAGGGAGAGTCGCTGAGAAACACATAAATGGATGCGTACCAGGACTCAGCGTATCAGGTGTTCTTCCCCTTTTTACTAAACATGTGGGTCTTGATTAAATATGTTCGTCGGATCATAATTTAAATTTCTTTTAACGAGTGAATCACGTTTTTTTAACAAAAGTTTTGTTAAAATCGTTCCAGTTTTATAGTTTTAGTGGTAATTCAATTTTTTTATAAAAAAAGTATAAGGTCAATATGCATTTTATTAATTGAATCTGGTTTTTTTTATTCATATTAGTACTTAGTAGTTTTTTTTTAGTTCTTTTAAGTATTTGAACTTTACATGGAGTTTAATTGCTCATCTCCTAATACAATCCCTTGACATTTTATGCATCTTTGACCTTTGAATGCTAAAGTATCATCTATCTTCTCTTCTGACCGTGAAACGTTTTGCTTTTATAATACTTTGCCCACACCCAAGGATAGTATTCTGAGCTGACATCAAATTTTGGATATTGCTTCTCACTTAATGTTTGCTTGGGTTTCACTTCTTTCTCGTAACCATAAATTTGGGTGGTTAACACCCATATCATATGATATTAGGGATATATAAGCTTTTCTCACTTAAAACTTATAACCCGTCCGAGTGATTATTTCTTTCTTTGATACAAAAGACTGGGTTGATGATTAAGGCCGGTATGATCGTAGAGCCAAGAGGTGGTTTGAAAGGTTACAGATGGCTTGAGGAAGAACGATGGTAGAACGGAGGTTTCAGATGGTGTTCTCAGAATCCCCTAGTCTAAGCTAACGACACGCCTTAATAGGACCTATGTACATGACATAAGTGTCAAGTCGAGTGAATGCTCCTCACGGCTCTTGGCTCTCCTTATCAATGTTTTCTTTGGTTTTGGTTTTTCATCAAAAAAAAATTATACATCTTTAATCATAAAAAAAGGGGGAGGGGAAACTGCAAATATCAGGAATCTAAGCTATTTGATTTTTTTTCCATGTTAGCTATAATCAAATCTTTAATGAATTTTATAACCAAAATTCTCAACTAAAATGAAACAAAACAAATGAGACACTGCCTTTTGACAGCGGACATTACCACAAAAAAGGGAATGAACAAAAATATAAACAGCAGCCCCTATCTGCCCAATTCTTTCCACAAAAGAAAAGCTGCCAACCCTAAATCAAACTGATATTTCATTCCAGGGCTAGGGTTTTAAAACTTTTAACTAAATAAAACTATGAGTAAATGAACAGCACAGTCATCCAACATGCTACAAAAAAAATAACAATAAAAAAAATCAAAGTTTTGCATGTTACAGGCAAATGTTTATGATACAAAAAAGACCATGTTCAGCAACCTATACCTCGCATAGATATCAATCAATGGACGATGAATTCACCACCTACACATTCTATACCCAGTTTACAAGTTACTCTGCACAAAAACCAGATAGAGAGACAGTGTTAGAACTTTCAAAATCTAACTTCCATTTGAACACCCTTCCTCCAACCCCACCTCCAGTCCCACCTCCAGTCCCAAGCCCTATAATAAGAGTCTGCCTTATAGAAAAATAATAACAGGTGACATAATGAACTGTGAGACGGGGATAGAATTCAATCCTATAAGAGAATATGCCATGCTTACATATCGATTCAAGAGAAAGAAGCAAATAATTGCATTACCTTTCTCATTGGAATCTTCGTCCCTAAAACTAGAATTGTAAATGCTTGGAATGTGTAACTAATTAACTATATTATAAGCAGAAGACAAATAAATGCCATTTCACAAACTTTTCAGCCAGAGGGTTTGTCAGGCAACATCCAGAAAACACTAATTTAGCAGAATCATTAAATTACCACACTTGCCGTATTTTACTGGCAAAAAGTTTAGAACAATATGGCCTATCAAGCCAGTTGCTTGGCTACATGTATAAAACTGTTCTATTTTAAGACAATTTTAAAAAAATCATAGTAAGAACATTCTGCAGCAAACAGCCATGCTCTAGTACGCCATTCATACAATGGAAAATTCAGTGTTCACAACTAGTTCTTCATTTTACCTTGGTTTCCTGAGTTGAAAGGAGAAGAATAAAGCACATAATGTTATAGGGAGGTAAAGAAATCCGGGTTATATTCATATATAAATTTCAGTGAACTTCTTAATTTTGATAAATGATTAGAAGTGTATAAGTGGGTACTATTCTGAATAACAAGAATTTACAATAAGAAAAAAATAGAACAGCATGATACGACATTCACCTCAAGCAAAGAAGAGAATATTAAGAAAGCCCTCCCACACTCTAACAACCATCTGAGACGACAAATGAACTATAGATCCACCCCTTCAGCCTGCTACTTTAATTACACCAACCTCATCTATTTTTGAGCTTTTATGCTGCAATAAATTAATTATGTACTTTGATTAGCACAACGGGATAGTAGTTAGAAAACAAGGTAGACACTATTCCGGGGGGAAAATGATGAGTTGATTCTGCATGCGTCACAAATATAAAAGATATCCACATAAGCAACACAAGAGAGTAAAATCCAGAATGATGTGCATTACCTTACTTTTTTTGTGTCTGTGAACATCATTAAGATCTTCATCTCCATCGTGCTTCCTTTTCTGAAAGTATATGAATCATAAAGAACTTTACATGGAATTCCATTTAAAATTTAATTTAATTTCAAAATAAAGTTTTTGATAAACTTCCAGATGACAAAGTAAACAACGGAACAGATGACAATAGTGAATTCCTGCCATCAGCAGAATTACTTATTTTTCCTGATATAAAAGAATATATCTCATGCATGGCTCAAAAGCAATGTAATTATTGAACAAAGAATGGGTAGATTTGCAGACTGATTTTTGTGCACTTGGGCACAACATCCTAGTCTGCTAGCCAAGACTTGTTGGCTAATGATTTTTCCACTACCCTAAGGGGGCCAAACGAGTGATCAAGCACTAACTGCAAGAGGTAACAAACTTCAAACCTTTTCATGATGCCCACTTTTATCCTTCTTTTTTTCCTTGTCTTTATCTTTACTTCGATCTTTATCTTTACGACGGTGCTTGTGCTTCTTATGCTCTTTATCCTTCTCCTTATCTCGGTCCTTGTGCTTTTTATGCTTCCTCTCTTTATCTTTATCTTTAGCTTCACTCTTTGATTTACCAAGAATTGTAGGAATCCCTTTTTCACTCTATCAAATAAACAAAATGGTTAATAACTCTAACTATGAATCTTGAAGCAAAAATTTGTCAAATGACAAAATAAACACCATATAAACTATTAAAGTTCTACCAAATTACTGAATTGGCACAATATATAGGACCGCCGTTCAGATTAAGAAAATTAAATAAAGGTAGTCTCAAAACAGTAAATTTCTTACCGCTGGCAATTCAACAGGAGTGGTTTCACTCAGCTGGAAAGCCTCCTTAAGAATATCAAGGTCAAAAGGCTGTATACGGGTATTAGCGTCTCTGCTGTGAGATGTATTATGAATAAGCTGGTCCAGCTGCATCCCTTCTCCTTTTCTAATTTCTGTATCTCCCACCACATTATGAAGATAATGTGTATCTGAGATTGATAAAGGAAGAGGTCTCTTACAGAAGAAGTCATGGTGAGGCAATAATTTATAGTGACTTATAAGATCAACAGCACCGCTAAGTTCCCTTGGTCCTACATTTATTTATACATAGCTTCTTGTCAGTTGAAAAAGAAATATAACAAAAAAAAATACCAAATAACTTTACATGAAATTACAGTCGACTCTGAATTTTTTTTTAATCTGAAAACTTCAAATGGAATGAACAAATTCAAAAGAAAATACAATGAAAACAAAGAAAGTGTTTTAAAAACCCGCATTCTAAACAGTATTACCTCCTCCAAATTTCTTGCCTTCAGGATCCATGTGTTAATGATTCATGAAATATGTACCATCATAAACTGCAAATTTTTAGTCAAAAGTCAGGGAAAACATCCATGAATATTGACTCAAAACATCTATTAAGGTAAACAAAGATTCACATGCAGGAAAGGCTCCAACATATTAAAACTAAAAATGCATGCATACATATGGTAAGTACATCTTTTATACACTTCGTTCCCCTCCTGTTTCACACTTGTAAAACTAGCAGCTTACAACTTTTAAGTTCCAAAGCTAACTTCCAAATCAAATATAGTTCTCCAATGTAGCAATTAATTTCTTTTTCCTCCTCTTTTTTACAATTAATTTATATTCAAACAATCATATCACTAGTACCAAAAGATATGCACATTTGGGCAAAAGATATGTGAAGTAAAGCTGATGAAAACCAACTTGGTAATCAGCTAACCGTTTGTTTTCAGATCAAAAAGCAAAACAGAGGCAAAGCCAGGATTAATATTTGTATTGAACATATCAAAGCACCAATAGCCTCAAGCATATGGATTCAGTAGAAGGGAATAGACCCACTAACTTTAAAAACTACGTTTCCCCGGTTAAACTTTTGACCATATCTTAGTATTAATTGCCAAAACAAGACAAATGATATCATATGTAACTTTCAAAATAAATTCTAAATTCCTAGTTAATGGTCATGAGTCAAACAAGTTTTCAAGCAATAGCATTTTCAGGAAATTTAAATTAGCTTCATACATGACACTCTAACTCCAAGTAGATCCAGACTTATAGTATAGTTTCCTCTAACTTTGCTACTAAATCTGCTTTAACCACTAAAAAATTACCTAATATTTCTTCATTCCCCCAAAACCAGCTAATATTCTACACATAACAGACACCCAAATTTAAAACTCAAATTATTCTCATTTTCACTATTTTTTCACGGAATCTTCGTATTATATAACCTCGGGGGGGGGGATGAAGAACAGACGTCCAAACAATATTTTCTCAAAGAATAAATAATTCTACATATGTATTATACACACATGTATATATAAAGAAGAATTAGAAAGAAATCCCCTATCAAATTTTATCATTACAAATTTTGAATAGCAAACGTTAAAAGAAAAACAAAAGAAATCCATAACACCTCAAATATGAAATCGCAAGTTCGCCGTCGTAACTTTTCAGATCACGGCAAAGCAAAGCTCGAAAATTCAATTTTTTTCTCTTCTATTCAACTCACTCACGCTTCTCTAAGAGTAAAAAGATTACAAAAAAATACCAATTCAAATAAAATTCAAAACCGCGCGAAATTTAAAACAAGAAAAGGGGAAAGAGCAGAAAATTGAGCAGTGAAATGAAGAGCGAGAGAGAAAGGTTGGAAGGGAAGGGAAATGGAAAGGGATTGAATAGAGTAAAAGGGTAGAAGTGGTAGATCAGAGAAAGTTCGACAGAATTCTAAAGCAAGCAAAAGAAGAAAGTTGGTACTTTTACTTCTTCTAGGGTTCGGAAGGAGAAGAAGGACGAAGCTAATAAAATTCCCCCTTTTTGTACTTCTCTCAGGTTTTCGGGTCCGTAGCTTCGTTTGCTGGATTTAGGGGTTTTTATTTACCTTATTTGTTTATTTATTTAGAGGGAGCGTGGATGAATCGGGCCATCTCGCGCGACAAGAGAGGGAAGGAACCCCAGCCAAAATTAGGGGAGGATTTTTTTTTTTTGCTTGCTTTATACCTCTATACATTTTTTCCGGCTTGGCTCCACTTACTTTTGGTACACAAAATATTAATATAAAATAAACTTACTATTATTGCATAATACATAATATAAATTTATAAAATAAAGGCTTCTTAGTGTTAACTACATCCATTGGTTATGATTAACGGTATAAATGAATAAAATATTTGATGAATTATTTGTGAATTGTTATATAACGTTCATTTATTAAGTTAAATAAATGAATTTAATAAAAAAATTATGTTTATTTAATAAACGAATGAACACAAATAGAGGTGTACTTTATTCTTTTATGATCATGAACAAACTCGTTTATTGACTTATTTATCGACTCGTTTATAAGCTCATTTATTAAGTTATCCTTTTCCTCTTTTATATATTTTAAATATTGATAAAGAGAAATACTAAATTGAGTATATAAAGTGAACTTTAGAGTTTAATTTGTGAAACCTAAGAAACTTAAGACCAGTGACATAATTTCATCATTTTTCTTTTACTTGCAAATAAAATAATAAAAAAAGAGTGTTGATAGTCGAACATTTTGATGAATGTTAAATAAACATGTTGTCGAACACTAAACGAAAGAACAATAACAACTTCATAAATAAAATAAACGAACACGAACTGAACATGAACATCTTCAAAAATAAACAAACACTAACACAACTTTATACGTTGAAGCTCGGTTAATTTACACTCCTAAATTCATAATCAAGAAACTTTTGGACGATTTCATTTTGACCACTTAAAAAAATCATTTTAATCATCGTTGTTAAAAAATATTTTTATTTCAATCACTAAGTGACAGGGCGGTCTTGGTATTTTTTGGCCCGAGGCAAAGTAAAAGAAATGAACTCTTATTAATGTGATGGGCCCCTCCTGCCCCTGCCCTGGGCCGCCCTGCTAAGTGACTAAAAGCATTACCGAGGTCTAAGTTGGTACGTTCACCCAAATCGAAATTTTTTCATTTTAACCATCTCCCTTGTAGTATTTATTAGATAATTGTGATAGCAATATTATTTTATATATAAACATGAATTACATTACTAAACAAATTATTTTAAGAACTGTGAATAAGTACAACTCAAATAAAATAATTTAAAATATGGTTTAGTTAATAATATATATATATATATATATATCATTTTCTCCCCCACATTTTGAACTCTAAAATAAAAGAAAATAAAATCAAGAAAGCAATAACAACACCATAGCCAGCTTTCCATCCACTCCCCTTCTCCCCCAAACGAATCCCATAGAAAACATTTGCTACTGCAAATACTGCCAGCATCCCCCCCGCGCTGTAATGGTACCAATTCCAGAATTTCCTCAGTTTCGATTCCTTGTTTGGTCTTGCTAATGCTGCCATTACCTATAATCAACATAATATGAAATTAAATAAACGTATCTATATCAAGTATGTGCATAAATTATGTTCTATCTTCTAGATAGTTAAAAATTATGTACATTAATTAATTACAGATAATAATATTTCAAGAGAGGGTGATCACATGTTCACATGTATTTAAGCAAAATCATATTATTTTAATGAATGCTTATGCTAGAGAGAAACCTGGAGGCATCCAAGCACAAGTATGAAGATGCCGAGGCCTTTGTGAGTGGAGACATCAGCTTTGAGACGATTTTCTAAAACAAGTCCGCATATTACACCCGATATCCCGAACACGACGGCGCACGACTGAATCGCTGCGTGGGAGAAAAACCAGATCGGATCCCATTGCTTGCAGTACCGAGCAATCATTGCTCCGATTATCATCAGTATCCCCCAGCTCAGCATATTTAGTGTTCCGTGGCTCTTCCTTAATCTTGAATGAGGGATCTTTGATGCACTTGAACCTGTTAATCATTTGGTAAAATCCGGATTGAGTAGCATACCTTATTATTCAGATCTTTTTCATTTGAATTTGACTCGATCCGATTACATCGTGGTAAATTATTTTTATGAATTACCTGTAACGTAATTCAAGGTGGTGGAGACTTTGTCACGGTGTTCGGCCAAAGTATAGTCCGGAGAAGAAGGAATCACCGCAATCTGTCCGACGGAATATATGAGCCGTGAGAGGGGTTGAGTGGTATTCAATTGGAATGCCATGTATAGACGCGATGATCGGGATGTTATCGACAAAGAGTTGCTAACAAGTGTGAGATTCCCTTGGTCAGGCAACACACGGTTAGGTCGTTGGCCTCCGAGAAAATATTGTTTCACCGTTCCACTGCCATCAGCTGAGATCCAGCCAACCACGGATCTTGAACCCACCATCATTCCACTGCTTGAAAACCCCATCGCGATATAAGAATTCGTGTCTGGAGCTGACAGAACAAAACTCCATACGTTCGATGATGTCTGAACATACTGCAACATGTTACATTCCAACATTAATCATATTCGTATTAAATACATATTCATATCCAACATTCAGCATCTAGAATTAAAAAAGTAGACGCCTACTCTGAGGATGAAATCATGGCTGCTCCAGACAGGAAGACAGTGGAGATGTCGTATCGAAGGGAACATCAAGGTTCAAATTTGAATTGCAAGAATCTATCTGTTGTGAATTCACCAGCTGTACTGATAAAGCCTGCAGAAGGGCAAGGAAGAAGGTAATGGAAATGGAAGATAGCTTCATATTTTTCTTCTTCTTTTGATTATCTGCTCTAGACAAGTATATATTTGGTCTTACATATTGTGTGACAAGCTGGAGAAGTTGACGATGATTCATGATTGTCTTAAATTAAATATTACTGGAAAGAACGTGGTGCCTTACAAGCATGTTTACAGGTAAATGTGATTAGGTAAGTTATATTGAGAGGATCATTTTTATTTATTATTTTGGTGGAGAATCAAGAAAATTCAAAAGCAAATGGGTATCGTGACATAGTCTATTCTGTATTGACATGTCTTCCACTATCCACTGATTCAAGCTTCTATTAATTTACTAAATAAATGTTTATATTTAAGACTCGAATATATTATAATATAATATAATATAATTAACGATAGAAAGAACTTTAAACATTTTTCAATGCCGGAAGAGAGAAAAAGAATATACGGTTCTCATGAAACCAAACAAGATTAACGTATTTGTGGGACTCTTTAATACAAATTTAATACTTTATTTTTAACATAAATAACTACGAATTCTTCCTTCCATTCTCATTTCATGATTTTAAGTAATTTTCTTAAAATGTTAGTTAAATAATATAATATATTAAATTTATCATGTAACTTAAAAAATACTTGTCAACAACCCATAGAATAAGTAGTTAAAAACTCTCCGTTGACGATATCCTCTCATTTGAATTGTGAGTTAAATACCCATCAGGAGTAAAAAAAATTCCCCTCCCCTAGATTGAAAATGTTTAGAAAAAAACAACTTGGAACTTGTTATATTAACTTCGAAATCTTCATGTTGATGGGGTAAAATTATAAAAAATCAAAACTTTTTGGATTTTGTACAAATATTATCATCTTCAAGGTTTCTATGGCAAAAGCAGAGCACCAAAGTTAAAATTCAAAAGCAAAGCAATGAAAAGATTTTATACAATTTTCCCTCTAAAAAATCCGTTTTAAAATAATTCACAAAAATACAAAATAAAAATGGGTCCGGGATTCGGCAGAGAAACAAGAGAGTGGGAAGCCGTCGAGGAAGAGAAAGGGAAAAAGAAGAAGCTAAACAGCCAAAACGCAATTGCTTGCCTCCTTCGGTTTCGGTCCTTCCCTCTCTCGCTCCCCATTTTTCTTTTTTAAATAAAAAAATAATACATTAAACTTGTTAATAATTTCCATCTCTTTACTGAAAATTATTTGACAATCGATTTTTCACTCTCCATTTCCTTTTGTTCCCTTATGTTTGCTCAGATCTAAACTTTCTCATCAATAAGGGGTGAAAGCTGTTCGGAAAATCGGCAACGAAACTAGTGAAAACCGCCGGTTTTATTCTCGAATCCGAGTTCAAATGGATGATTTTCCAGACTTATTAGCCAAAGATTTTGGGATCAAGCCCCAAGGGAAGGCGGCCCCGATGGCACCTCCTAAAAACCCTTCTTCAGGTTCCAGTTACGGATTCGGATCCGATTTTACCCGATCATCATACCGCATGTCAAATCGTCATCCAATTCTATTTTCGATGACAAGGACAGCGACGGGATCCTATTTGACGACGTTTACAGTGGACAGCGTAAATACTCCGAGTCTCGAGCAACAAGCGCGCAAACGTCGTCGTTTGATTACGATACATTTTTCAAGGACACGAAGCCGCCGGTTTACGATGAAGATATTTTCGATGGATTGCCTGGGATCAAGAGCTCTTCTGCCAAATCGGCTGCTAAGTATGACGACGTTTTCACGGTATCGGGGTCTCCGCGTAAGCATAAGTCGATGAGTAGTTCTCCTTTTGATGATATGCTTGGGAAACTGGGAAGAAAAGACGATGAGAGGAAGGCGAATAGCGAGAGAGTGAAAGCGGAAAAAGATGCACCTTTATTTG